GATCCCTACTAGAACTATAACTGGACATAGAATGTGCATTGATTATAGGAAGTTAAATGCTGCATCTAGGAAAGATCATTTTCTTTTACCATTCATTGACCAAATGCTTGAACGTTTAGCTAATCATCCATACTATTGCTTTCTTGATGGATATAGTGGTTTCTTTTAAATACCAATTGACCCTAATGATCAAGAAAAAAACACTTTCACATGTCCCTACGGAACTTTTGCTTATAAGAGAATGTCATTTGGTTTATGCAATGCTCCTGCAACATTTCAGAGGTGTATGACTTCTATATTTTCAGATTTAATCGAGGAGATGGTGGAGGTTTTCATGGACAATTTTTCGGTCTATGGCCCCTCTTTCTTCTCATGTTTCTTGAATCTTGGCAGGGTATTGACCACGTGCGAAGAGACAAATCTTGTTCTCAATTGGGAAAAGTGTCATTTCATGGTGAAGGAAGGCATAGTGTTGGGTCACAAGATATCAGAGAAGGGTATAGAGGTTGACAAAGGAAAAATTGAAGTGATGATGCAGTTGCAGCAACCAAAAACGGTGAAGGACATCAGAAGTTTCCTTGGTCATGCTGGGTTCTACAGAAGATTTATTAAAGACTTCTCCAAGATAGCCAGACCGTTAACCAGACTATTGTGCAAGGAAACCGAATTTGAATTCGATGAGGACTGCCTCAAATCCTTTCACACCATCAAAGATGCTTTGGTATCTGCTCCTGTTGTTCGAGCGCCTAATTGGGACTACCCATTTGAGATCATGTGTGATGCATCAGATTACGCAGTAGGAGCTGTTTTAGGCCAGAAAATAGACAAGAAGCTTCATGTCATATATTACGCCAGCCGAACGTTGGATGAAGCTCAAGGAAGATATGCAACAACTGAGAAGGAGCTTCTAGCTATTGTATTCGCATTTGAGAAGTTCAGAAGCTATTTGGTTGGATCAAATGTCACTGTCTATACAGACCATGCAGCTTTGAGGCATTTGTATGCCAAGAAGGATACTAAGCCAAGACTGTTGAGATGGATACTTTTATTGCAAGAGTTTGACATGGAGATAGTAGATAAGAAAGGCATTGAAAATGGTGCAGCTGACCATCTGTCAAGGATGAGAACTGAAGAACCCCTTCCGATAGACGATTCAATGCCAGAAGAGCAGCTCATGGTTGTAGAGTTCTTCGGAAGGAGCTACAGTGGGAAAGAGTTCCACCAACTGAATGCTATTGAAGGAGAATCTCCATGGTATGCTGATCACGTCAATTACTTGGCATGCGGAGTAAAGCCTCCCAACCTGACAAGTTATGAAAGGAAGAAGTTTTTTAGAGACATACACCATTACTACTGGGATGAGCCTTATCTTTACACTCTTTGTAAAGATAAGATCTACAGGAGATGTGTCTTAGAAGATGAAGTGGAAGGTATCCTGCTGCATTGCCATGGCTCAGCATATGGTGGTCACTTCGCGACGTTCATGACAGTGTCCAAGATTCTTCAAGTAGGCTTTTGGTGGCCAACAATGTTTAAGGACGCTCAGGAGTTTGTTTCAAATTGTGATTCATGCCAAGAAAAGGCAACATCAGCAGTTTGTTTCAAGTAGGCTTTTGGTGGCCGACAATGTTTAAGGACGCTCAGGAGTTTGTTTCAAATTGTGATTCATGCCAAGAAAAGGCAACATCAGTAGAAGAAATGAGATGCCTCAGAATCCAATCTTGGAAGTTGAGATCTTTGATGTATGGACGATTGATTATGTGGGTCCTTTCCCATCTTCATATGGTAACAAGTATATACTGGTCGCCGTAGACTACGTATCAAAGTGGGTCGAAGCTATTGCTAGTCCTACCAACGATGCAAAAGTTGTGCTGAAGCTGTTCAAGACCATAATCTTCCCGAGATTTGGAGTTCCCAGGGTAGTAATCAGTGATGGTGGGAAGCATTTCATCAACAAGGTTTTTGAGAACCTCTTGAAGAAGCATGGAGTAAAGCACAAGGTCGCAACTCCCTATCATCCACAGACGAGCGGGCAGGTTAAGATCTCCAATAGGGAGATAAAAATAATTCTGGAAAAAACTGTTGGGATTACAAGGAAAGTCTGGTCTGCAAAGCTAGATGATGCATTATGGGCTTACAGGACAGCCTTCAAGACCCCCATTGGTACAACTCCTTTCAATCTTCTCTATGGAAAATCATGTCAACTACTTGTTGAACTCGAGTACAAAGCAATGTCGGCGGTAAAACTTTCGAACTTTGACATAAAAACTGTTGAGGAGAAGCGATTGATCCAACTCAGTGACCTCGATGAGATCCGTTTAGAAGCTTATGAGAGCTTTAAAATCTACAAGGAGAGAAACAAGCTTTTCCATGATAAGAAGATCATCACTAAGGATTTCCAGGTTGGTGATCAGGGGCTGCTGTTCAACTCTCGCTTGAAACTCTTTCCAGGAAAGCTTAAATCCAGATGGTCTGGCCCCTTCTGTATCACTAAGGTCCGTCCCTATGGAGCAGTCACTCTAGCTGGTAAAAGTGGAGACTTCAAAGTAAATGGTCAAAGGCTCAAGAAATACTTAGCGGATCAAATCCTTCCAGAGGTGACATCGGTTCATCTCCAGGACCTTCTTGATGATTAAAGAAATAAACGAGTCGAGCTAATGACTTTAAACAAGCTCACTTGGGAGGAAGTCCCATGACTATCTCGGAGACAAGGGAACAACGTGGAGATAGAGTAAAAATTCAAAACTTTTACTCTACAAAAGACCTGGAGATCGAGTGTATAACCTGGTGGAGTACAAAATTTTGAAAGTTTTCTGTTGCATCTGGAGACCCAGAATTCGAGTACATCAGTCGAGTATACGTGATGTTTAAAATCCAAAATTTTTAAAAACATCAATGTACTCAACCAACATAAGCTACGGAGACTTGCAAGGATTTCTTGCAGTTTACAGTAGATCTTCTGCAGATTTTCTCAGTCAAAAGAGTGTGGACCACGCGCTGAGGATAAGCTGGAGAGAGAATCTAAAACTCAACCTCCACCACTCATTTTGAAACTTCACTCGACTTCACAAAATCCACTCGACCTACCTCTTTTCATCTCACCACCGACACTCCAATTTCTCTACACCACGAATCGCCGTCCAAAGAGCCACTCGATCCAGATCACTTCACTCGACCACGGTGAATCACTCGACCTCCGCGCCACCGTCACTAGTCCATTTCTTCCGTCACTCGACCTCCGTGTCGCCGTCACCAGTTCATTTCCTATGTCACTCGACCATCCCTGCGCCACCGTAATCGAGTACTCCTCCTCGTTCACCGTCGAAGTCTCCGGGACCACTCGATTACGACAAAGCTACTCGACCACAAACTATCACTCGACCTCGAGTATTCACTTGACCTCTGCAACAGCAACTCGACCTCTTGTTCTTGAAAGCAACAGAGCCCTGAAGCACTGTCAGAGTGATTACTCGACCTCTAGGCTTCACCGGCTGAACTCAACCTCCACGACTCACTCGACCTCTGGGAGCAGACTCACTCGAATTCAAGAAAAGTTACTCGACCCATTTCGTCTAAGGGAAACTCAAAAACAGCTCAGTCTACTCGAGTACAAAATTGTACTCGATTAACAGGGTCTGTTTCATTGCATATTGATAACAGTTTGGGTTTCATTGCTATGTTTGAGACTAACCTATTGACATTTGAGCTTTGAGTTCTAAATCTCTACAGGGGAATCAGGAGCAATTACAGTGGCAGTTCTTATGTTGATCCTGACTACAACATGGATGAGACAGAGTCATCATCTTCAAGGCCAGAGAGAGAACAGAGAGAATATGAAAGCTGCAGAAGAAAAGCTGAGATAGCCCGGGGGAAAAGAGCGATGACAGAGAGGTATGAGCTTATAGACGAGGATCTGGAAGACGAGTACATGCCTGAGCATACTCGCAGAGCCACCAAACTTCTGCACAAGCCCGACGTATTGCATGCTGAGGAATATATTAGGCTCTTCAAGCTGAATGAGTTCTGTAGCACGAGGTATCCTTGCTCGACCACACTTGCACAACTCGGATTGTTGGAGGATGTTCACCACCTGTACCAGAGTTGTCATCTGGACACTCTGATGGCTTATCCGTATGTAGCATATGAAGATGAGACAATTCAATTCTTCTCCACTCTGCAAGTGGAGCTCTACCAAGGTATGACCTCTGATGAGTTGGATTGTGAAGGATTGGGATTCTTGAGATTTTCTGTGTATGGTCATGAGGATAGGTTATCAATCAAGCGCTTGGAAGGATTGTTTGGTTTCCCCAGTGGAACGGGAACTAAGCCCAAGTATGACAGAGAAGAGTTGAAAGACTTGTGGATCACCATTGGCAGCTCTGTACCGCTGAATTCTTCCAGGTCAAAGAGCAATCAGATACGTAGCCCTGTCATCAGGTACTTCCAGCGTTCTATAGCCAATGTACTCTACTCCCGAGAGATCACAAGGACTCTTACTAATTCTGATATGGAGATGATCGCTATGGCTCTCAAGGGAACTCTTCGCCAAACTAAGAACGGCATGCCTCTCCAAGATGAAATCAATGACACACCTCTCTCTGTACTTCTTCTAATCCATCTGTGTGGATACAAGAGCTGGGCTGTTAGCAATAACCACAAGAGAGCACGAGGCGCTCTATGCATAGGTGGTGTTGTGACACCGATTCTGATCGCTTGTGGAGTCCCAATCACATCTGATGGACTTGAGCTACGAGCAATGGATATCGAGCATCTACGTCACTACGAATTCCTGGAGTTCGCAATGGTTGGCGACTTGCACCGGTTCAGGTTTAAGCACTCTACAGACAAGAGAGTTAGCATCCTTCTCCCTATCCCTAAGGTTACTCGGATAATAGAGGGAGATAACATTGATTTTTGGCCTGAGATTGGAAGCCTCTAGTATGAGAACGCTCCGCCATTGGATGAGGATGACCTTGTAGAAGAAGCTGCTGAGGATGGTATGGATGAAGACAGAGCAGTGGAGTTCGACACTAGCATGTATCACTTTGGTGAATATGTGCCTCCAGCAAGGGAGAGCAAGAGCTTGAGTGAAGCTCATAGGAACAACAGTAAACTACAGAAGTGGTGCTAGAAGCAGGACAAGCTGCTCGCCAAGTGTTTCTGACAGATAAGCTGAGTTGTTCCTCCTCCACTACTGCTATTCCACAGGGATAACCTCCTCTAGAGATGCCATCAAGGAGATTTGATGAGCCTGAGCACAGGCCTGAGCTTAGCGAGCAGAGAGTCTCACATGTCCCGGCTAGGCATTCGTCATTCGAGTCCCGGGAGCACAAGAGAAGAAGGAAGGCTACACTCACTCGATCTAGCAGCAAATCACGCCTCATTCACTCAAGGAGATCACTTGACCACGGTGCTGGCCGCAGCAGAAGGAGAGAGGTCGAATATCCTTAGAGCGGTGCTGTCCGCCACAGAGCTGATGAGGTCGAGTACCCACCTGCTGGAGCTGATACGGAACAAGGCGGCTCGTCTATGGCCTGGGAGCAATCACAGGCAGCCATTGACGAGTAACTACGTTCATTCTTCGACTGACGTAAGTGCCTCACTTCACCATTGTATTATATCATCCGTTGTGATTTGTTTCTTCATTTTGTTTCTGTGATTGGATTTGTCCTGAGTACTCTCTTCCAAGTTTATTCGCAAAGTGGACTGTGTGATTTAAGTTTGGGGGAGGGCTCAGGAAGTGTGTGTTGCATTGTGTATATTTTTGAGTCTGCATTCATCTAAGGCATAGAAAATCCAAAAAAATTGAAAAATTTAAGAAAATGATTTCACAAAAAAAATAGTGTTCATGTAGTTGCATTACATTTAGGATTGAGTCTAGAGTGTTTCATTTAGGATTGTTGCATGTGCATAGGGGATAATGATGAGATAGCCTTGTAAGCATTTTGATTCACCGGACAAACTCAGTTCCCTCGTTGCTAGTTGTCTGTTGCGTAGTCAATGAATTTGAAATAAAACTCAACCATGCCTAGATTGCTCTACTCGACCACACTGTCATGATCTGATACCATTCCCTATCAATTTGAACCTGAATCTGATCATTAATTATCATGTCTGCATCAAATTTGAACTCATGGATACCCTAAAATACTTGGATTTTCTTATTCATTTTGATCACTCTTGTTAATCCAAGTAGCTAACTCTCCTTATTAGAGCAGTTAACCCAAACCCAAACCTAGACTTTCTTTCAAGCCCTATATCACTTGTGAGTGTTTGTGAGGTCTTATTCCGATTAAGTGGTAGAAAGTGTAAGGTTCGTAACGACAGAGATAGTGTGTCATGTAGTTCTAGTTCGCATTTTTCGGACTAGATAGGACTAGGTGGGCGCTTATACTTTGGGTTGGGATGTGTTTAAAAAAAAAAAAGGGTTGATACATTGATGAGAAAAGGTAAAAGACTCTAGGTGAAGTAAGCTAAAGAAGCAGAAAAAGTCTAGTAAAGGTTTTGGGATTTGTAAAAAATAGAAAGAGTTCTTGTTAGCTATTGGAGATGGACAAAAGCCCTTGGTTTTAAATGTCAAAAACAGGAACCTTAGGTGTTAAAGAAATCCAAATCCGCTAGATATATCAAAGTGTTGAGAAAGCTTCTCCTAAAGTTAAGAGAAAAGAAAAGAATGATTAGAAAAAGGGCTTAAAAGGGATTGGTAGATTTGAAAACATTTGTATGTCGAGCATATGAGTGGGATTGATTGATAATGAGGCATGGCTAACGTTTTTAAGTAGAATTCGATCTTGCAGCTTAGAACTTTTAACTTGGACATTGATTTTATCTGGTTTATCTTGTGCTTTGACTGTGAGTCCCCGCTTTCAAACCTCACCTCCAGCTTGTTCTTGATTGTTTGCTTGAGGGCAAGCAAAGACTATGTTTGGGGGAGTTGATAAGTGTGTATTTTGCATGTTTTGAGAATCCATTTGTCATCACTTTAGCATCATATCAAATCACTGTTTTATACCATTTGTCATCATTTTACATGTTTAGGATAGATTTGCATGCATGTTGCATATTTGCGTTAATTTCAGGTGATTTGGAGCTGTTGACGAGCTATCTGGAAGAAGCGGACCTGATCATGTCAAACCACTCGACCCCGAGGTCGAGTAGGGGCTTCAAAATCTCAACAGACCACTCGACCCACTGGTCGAGTAGAGGACATCACTACTTCACCACATCACTCGACCCCGAGGTCGAGTGTCTTCATCCCATCACTCGATCACATCACTCGACCCCGAGGTTGAGTGTCTTCACCTTCATTACCAGACCACTACTCGATCTCACCACTCTACATTGAAGTCGAGTACCACCATCACCAGCACTCGACTACATACTCAATTGCGAGCTTCAGAGTCTTCTTCATTCCGCACTCAACCAGACACTCGAGCACAAGGAAGAAAAAAAGACTCCAACTATTCACTCGACCTCCCACTCGACCACACGGGTCGAGTACAGTTCTTAATCCGTCCCAATACTGCATCGTTTTAAGTATTAGGGTTTCAGAATATTTGGCTATAAGTAGCATGTACTTCACATTTTTGCAAACAAGTTTTTTATCTAGTTTTATTTCCGCAGACACTGTGTTCTAGACCTTTTGTAATCCGGATTTCTCTTTATCTATTCAGTATTCAGTATTCAGCATTTGGTCTTGATTTCGTTTACTGTTGTTCATTCTGTTATCATCCTGCACCTACATTGTTGTTATCATGTTTTCAACTTGTTCAACGTTTATGCTTTCTGCTATGATGTCAGAGTAGTGAATAGGTTTGTGAGGATGGGTTAGAGTAGTGTAGAATTCTCAGTATGTTAGGTGATTGAGTATTGATTGATAGATCCCTTCCGGATTAGTTGTTCTTAATGCCTATTGCTTTCTGATAAACTGGAATTTGAGCCCAGACATTTTCGCGCCCAAAAGGTGTTCGATGAAATGTTTGAATCACTAATTCCAGAGATTCGTGGCCTTGTACCAAGGTATTGGTTGCAGGGAGCGTTTTGGCTTTAACTTGTTGATTCGTAATGCCTGTTAGGTTAGCTCTCGTCAATGGTGATTGAGTCTGGGACTAGGTTAACTTGAGGGTCTCTGTTGCGGTGGCACTTAGATTTGGTTAATGAACTTGTTGTCTAGGGATAATTTATTGAGCATGTCAATCACCTGTAAACTGAGGAATCGAAACTACTCAATTACCCCATCCTCGGGAATTCTTTATCTGATTGAAGTCTTTGTTTACTCTACTGTTGTTTATTGCATCTTGTCATCTGTTGTTTAATTTCTGCAATTCTTTCTTGTTACTCGACCTCATACTCGACCACCCAGTTGTCTGGCAACAGACTGTGCAGTCGAGTATCTGTGTTATACTTTCTGTCTGTTACTCGACATGTCACTCGACCTCACCCAGTGCTCTGCAAAGAGCTGTGTTGGTCGAGTGTTTTACAGTTTCTGTTTCATTTTCTATTTTCAGCATGTTCACTTAGGACTGCTAGAACACACCAAAACCTGTTATTGCTTGGCTTGACTTAGTGACTTCTGATCACATTTTGATTGTTAGCATCACACCCATTTGGATTGACAACCTTCAATACTACAACGACATGATAGTGCTTTAGGATTAATTGATCTTGAAAACCTATTATCAAGCAGAATCCTCTAATAGCAGTTATTTGATTAGTCCATCCTTCAAAAGAACTTTTGAAACCTTATAGATTTCTTTTCCATATGAGATTTTATCTTTCCCGACCCACACCAGAAACAGAAATGTCTTACCAATCAGATTCTTTACAGAATCAAAAAGGTTGATAATAGGTTTTTAACAATTATCCTAAAACACCAATCATATCGTTGTAGTATTTTAGGTTGTCAATCCAAATGGGTGTGATGCTAACAATCAAGATGTGATCAGAAGTCACTAAGTCAAGCCAAGCATAACAGGTTTTGGTGTGTTCTAGTAGTCCTAAGTGAACATGCAGAAAACAGAAAATCAAACAGAAACAGTAAAACACTCGACCAACACAGCTCTTTGCAGAGCACTGGGTGAGGTCGAGTGACAGGTCGAGTAACAGACAGAAAATGAAACAGGGATACTCGACTGCACAGTCTGTTGCCAGACAACGGGGTGGTCGAGTATCAGGTCGAGTAACAGTAAAGAATTGCAGAAACTAAGCAACAGAAGACAGGATGCAGTACACAGTAGTAGAGTAAACAATAAAATCAATCAGATAAAGAATTCATAAGGATGGGATAATTGAGTAGTTTCGTTTCCTCAGTTTACAGATGATTGACATGCTCAATAAATTAACCCTAGACAACGAGTTCATTAACCAAATCTAAGTGCCACCGCAACAGAGACTCTCAAGCTAACCTAGTCCCAAACTCAATCACCATTGACGAGAGCTAACCTAACAGGCATTACGAATCAACAAGTTAAAGCCAAAACGCTCTCTGCAACCAATACCTTGGTACAGGGTCACGAATCTCTGGAATTAGTGGTTCAGACATTTCATCGAACACCTTTTGGGTGCGGAAATGTCTGGGCTCAAATTCCAGTTGATCAGAAAGCAATAGGCATTAAGAACAACTAATCCAGAAGGGATCTATCAACCAATACTCAATCACCTAGCATACTGAGAATTCTACACTACTCTAACCCATCCTCAGAAACCTATTCACTACTCAGACATAATAACAGAAAGCATAAACGTTGAACAAGTTGAAAACATGATAACAACAGTGTAACAGCAGTATGATAACAGAATGAACAACAGTAAACGAAAATGAAGAACAGAAACTGAATACTGAATAATGAATAGATAAAGAGAAATCCGGATTACAAAAAGTCTAGAACACAAGGTCTGCGAAAATAAAACTAGATAAAAAACTTCCCGTCTGCGAAAATGTGAAGTACATGCTACTTATAGCCAAATATCCCGAAACCCTAATACTCAAAACGACAAAGTATTGGGACGGGTTAAGAACAGTACTCGACCCATGTGGTCGAGTGAGAGGTCGAGTGAGTAGCTGGAGTCTTCTTTTCTTCCTTTTGCTCGAGTGTCTGGTTGAGTGCGGAATGAAGAAGGCTCTGAAGCTTGTCATCGAGTATGCAGTCGAGTGATTGTGATGGTGATACTCGACATCCAGGTAGAATGATGAGGTCGAGTGATGA